ACACAAAGTCACACTATTAGATGATTCTTGGTGTAAATGCATTTACATTTTTTATTCCTCTACATTACTCATTCTATAGATCCAAAAGAAAGAGATGAACGAAAACGGTTTAAAAAGGACAGTATATCGATTTCATGAAAACTTTACGAAATATTCTTTGTTTGCTACACAGTGAATCTCGGTTTAACGGACAATTTGGGCAATTATAACAAAAATTTCAAAAATCCGTTATACCGAGATTAATTCAAGATTTAATTAGTAAATCTGTTAAACCGAGACGATTTACTTATAGGCGGTTCTGAGTATTTATCCGTTAAACCGAGACTTTTATTAGAGATCCGCTAACATTTCCTTTCCCTATTTTCACAATATCCAGTACCAAGACTCACTGTGTACAATTTTTTATTCATATTTTTATATACTCTTACATTTACTAACAAATCAATCACTAAACATGTCTACATCATCTTCATCAACTGGAATAGGTATTCTGTATGCATAACTGTACGACCATCTGATTGTTAAGACGCGTTTTTAGTGGATTTAACGCGTCTCTTGATTTTTATAGACTGTAAGTGATTTTCAACCATATTTTCCTTGCAAATAATTGCTAACACAAAATATGTCTAATACTTCTATCTGCCTCGTTCGAGAAAACACTGAAAATATCCCATATATCAAATATTTCGAATTTTTTCCATGTGAAAGGTGGTCTCTTCAGCATTACGTTAATTTAATCATCAATAACTATGAGCACGCCGAGAAAAGTAAGTATAATAAGAATAACAAATTTAGACAGATGAGGCACAGCCAGGTGCTTGTACCTATTAAATTCGTCTTAATGGGAGTGGAGTATGTCAACTCTTACAAGTGTTGAATTGGATGCGTTTATTAAATTCGCCTTAGTAAACTTTATGGAATCTTCCAATATAAGTTTTTGATAAAGGTCTACTGGTCTGGAGAAGGAGTTGGTTATGTACTTTCCTTTATGTCAACAAAAATTTAACTATTGAAATATTCCTGCATCCGCCATCTAATCTTTATTTTTTTGTCTGATTATGCTTATTGAGAAATATTTCTCACCCAATTTTACCTTCAATAGGCTGATGTTAAAAAAGTAAATAGCTTATGGGATAAAGCTATCAAGTCTAAACCATCACCGTCATCGTCGTCGTCATCACCATCATCATCGTCATCATCATCGTCATCGTCACTATTGCCATTGGTTATGTTGAGAAAAAAACGAAAGGCTGAAAATATAACGGAACTTTCGCCAAAGAAAAGCAATGCACAATCACAAAATACAGATTCTTTTTTCTTGGAGTAGATGCACCTTTGCGAGCGGATGAATCTTTAGATGTTCTCGAGACGTTAAAATTGGCCGGATGTACTTTTGATCAGAATGCAATTGCACTTGGTTCGACCCGTTCTTATAAAAGTTCGAATTATTTGCGAGTTGAAACTAAGTGCAATAAAAAAGTTCCAAAATAGTGTGTCTACGATATAGAAATGTATCGAATTTTTATGAATTGGCTGGCAAAAGATCATGACTTTGAAATTACAAGCTAGTGGCATCTCGAGCAAGTCTGCGAAGATGGAGGCTGGCACCATCTTTATTCTGATCTGACAATAAAAAAGAATGCTGAGCCCAACCCTGTAGCTTTAGTGGAACTTATAGCAACCAGGGTCGAAGAAACATTTCGAACAGGTTTTTAAGTATGCTGAGCAAATTTGCCCTCGGGAAGTTTGGGTTGTACATTTCTCTCGAGAGGATTCTATTGTGTTAGATCCATATTGGCCTTCTGACGAGCTACAGGGAAGGGAATAAATGTTGTGCATTTTTGGCACAATAAAGAATTTAGGAATGTTCGGATGAGTTCCCGATCTCGAGATATCACTGGTAAATTTCAGGACATTATAGATGAGCAAATCCTCCCCTAATTTATTTGTGCATAATAAAGCTGGCCTAGTGGTTGATCTAACATATATAATTGCATACTTGATTATTTTTTCGTGTGGGTGCAGTCTTGGAATTTTTTTATTGTATATTGTAAATATAATTAATCATATGTCTTTAATAAAACAAACGTGACTTAGCTATTTAATCATTTCTTTCATTTCCTTGTATGTGAATGCCTCCATCCATCAAATATTCATGATGATTATGATTATTATGCGATACATTTGATATCATCATTGACATAACAAACAATTGCATCACCCAGGTAGTAATGATACCAAGGCCATGTATAAACAAAACTCTTAACAATGTGTGTCTACCCAGATCTCTGGGGTTCAGAATAATAATAAATCTGATGTTGATCACAGGTGTCGGATTTAATTAAAACCTTCCTGTCACCAGCAATTGCACACCTCTAACCATGAGATTTCCATTCCTACAGAAGAGGTAATTTGATCAAACCCGCCTATAATAATAAACGTTCATTTTTGAAACTTGATTTG